CAAAAGCACAGAGGCCCGCTTTCAACTTTATGGTTCTGGAAAACAAAAGTGCATGTCACAGCAGGGGCTTAATCTATAAACTTTGATGTAGTCAAGATACAAACGTTTATTTCCATACAAGCGTCCTGCAAGTAGGTAGCTCAACTGTATAGTGCTGTCAAAAAGATTTAGTAATGACTTCCTATTCTTTTCAATGGCAATTCTCCTGGAGTTACAAGAGAACATGGGAACAGCATTAAACACTTTTCTGCAAGAAATACACGACAATTACTTGATTAAACCTTACTGACTACCGTCTCCACTGCGCTTACCTGGCACTGATGAAACATTTTCCTTTTTCACATCAATATGTTTCTCAAAAATGCTTCCACTTGAGCTATAAACATCCATTCTGCTCTGTTTTTAGTAAACAAAGACATAAACACAATTCTGTTAATTTTTAATCGATTTAAAGACTTAAACGTTTTTTTTGTAGTGGTTTCTTGTTCTGCATTCGTGTCACATTGGTGACCTCTTTAACTCAACACTGCATTGCCGAATTAACATTTTTCCTAAAATTAGCACTGTCGTCGTCATCTCCTACTGAGATCCCACTTGTTTGTGTTTCATTCAGCATTTTCTTGTATATTTGAGTTTATGTAACTTGACTGGAATCAGGAAAGTATGTAGCTGTTAAATGTGTATTTTGTTACACTGCTTTTTTTCCATCATTTCCTGTCAACTGCCAATGGACTTCCATGCTCAAACATTTAGATTTCCATTTTCCCTGATCTCTAAACCTAAATTGCAACCCACTTTTCATTCATCTGGAAACAATCAATCACGTGTGGTTTTTAGACGTAAAAGCTATGTTGTCATGTTTGACAAGCCGGCCAACGCTGTAAACGGGTGGCATTTGGATGATGTGACTTTTGCTTCTGAGTGTTAGCCTTCCTCCAGTCAAGCTGTCCTGACTTACACTGACAAAACTGGGGTCAGAAGTTGTACAGATGCGCTCTGATATGATTGGCACTTGGGAGACTCTTGGTTTTCACACTTTGGGGATTGTTCTCCATTTTCCAGAATGTTCTGCCTGGAGACTCTGAGGGAATGACCTCATGATTGGCTTGGGGGTGTGGTGTGTGCGAGTCTGTCTCTCTATCTTTGGGGGTTCGTGATCGTGATCAACTAAGTCCAGAGTGAAATTGCATTTGGACCTGGGAACAGTGTTGCAGTGTAGCCATTATATAATACAATATAAAGCAATGGTTGGAAGAGAGCTTTCAGCTGGGAACAAGCTTGTTGCTACAGCTCGTGTTTGCAGTCGAAATTTATTGCTGTGACTCAGTGAATAAATTGGCATAATGTCCATGCATACAGACTACAAACTATACTATATATTTTCAGATATAAACAGTTCCTATTTTTCCCCCTAACAAAACCATGAAAACACAGTAAAGCCTCAAAACTGAAGACAGAAGCCAGTTGTGTGCTTTGAATGTCTGATCAAAGCTCTTATTAAATCCTGCAAAGACAAACAACTTACTGTGTTTGTGTGCGTGTTTTTGACTTTGCTAATTGTGTTTGTTTATTTAAACTGAATGAACACTGCGCTGGGGCATATTTTCTCATTGTCTCTGTGTGCCCCTAACTCAGACTTCTGTTATTTTACATGTAAGCAGAACTAAATTTAAACCAAGAATCTGCTTAGGGGGCACTCTCTAAGCAGTGGTGGTGAGAGAACATGGGGGACTCTGCTTTCTGTAAAAATGCATGTGTTCAGCCCGAGCTTGGGAAGGGACAGAAGAATAAAGAGTGTTTGGCTTTTTCCTCTGCTGCTGTGCAGCCTAATTGTTCTTTCCAATATGGCGTGCACTTTAAAGTGGAAGTTTTGCCTTTGCTGAATACCTTCTGCAATACCTCCTTACCTCAATACTTTCACTCACGTAACACAACACACATGGTGAGAGGTCCAGGCCCTTTCTGCCTTTCCTCCCTTCTCTGTTGCTCGGAAAATCTTACATTTCTGCAGAAAAGAAGTGCACACATCCTGTCCTCATTATTGCAGGGAAGGGAGATGGATATGGCCTGGTCGATCTTATGGAAGCCCAACATGAGCATGGCTGAGCAGAACAGAGCAGGCAGGCACGCTGCTGTGTTTTATATGACTTGTTCTTGGCCTTTGATGACACTGTTTTGAATAGGAAATATCTAATAAGTCAAATATTCTGTCTAATGTGCTGCCAGTTGGTTTAGTATTTGCCTGGAGGTCTTGAAACACTATCTCCACCACAGCAATAATATACATTTAACATTCACTTTGAGTGGGAGGGGAGGGAGTGATGCGGAGAAAGAAAAGGGGCAGCTGAGAATATATGCTGTAATAGTAACCATATGCTGGATGGAGTTGTAGATGAGGGTGGGATAGCCTGGGACACACCTTTGGTCTGTGTCCTGTACTTTGCAATTCATCAAAATCACGCCTCAGAGACAGCAGTAGTTAATTGAAACTGACACAGCATCCATTACCATGATTAAGGAACCATGGGGATACGCCTCAAAAATTCTGGAACAACACTGAATTAATAGGTACAAGATTTTCTGCTGCACTCTACCTGACAAGAATGCAACTGTAGATGAATTTATTTTATTTATTTATTTTAGTTTCATCATATAAACCAGAACATCCTTGTTTTTGTATACTGTATGTACTTTTTCTTTGTCGTTCTTAGTCTACTTGACAATAGGAGTGGAAAACCAGACACATTTGTTTAATCAGGTTTTTACGATGTGTTTTCTCAGCATCTTCAGTATATTTTAGTGCATTTGGGAGTAATTTTTGACTAAATCTTGTGTGTATTTTTTTTATATTCCTGTTTAGTCATGATGGGTAATTTATTATTTTTTAGGCAGCTTTTTAATATTTTTTCCAGTCCTGTTCCATCAGAGCCACTGGTGGCTTCTTTATAGCTTTGAAGATGGCATGCCTTGGTAGCAGAATAAAGATGCCTGTTTTCTTTGTCGCTCAAAACCCAAAAACCTACTCACGTTGATTTATATCATGATTTATATCATCTGTCACTGAAAGCTTTTTATTGACGCAACAACTGGAACCGACATCCGTTTGCTGGAATCGAGCATAAAATCTCAGCTGCTTTAAACACAATACCACAGTCACTGCTCAAAACAATTTAATTTACTGGGGTGAAGCCCCTTTTTTGAAGACATTTCCAATATTGCAAGAAATGCAAAAGGATTTTTCAACCACAGAAAAAGTCCCGGGGCATGTCTTTTATGTCTCTGTGGCTGTACCCTGTTCTTCTTCTTTAGTGAATTTGTGTATGAGTGTTTGTTTTTTGTCTCTGTGGAAGGAAAAATACTTTTTTTATTTTTACATTCACTTTTATCCATCAATCCATCTTTTCTCTAGGCTCACTTGTTCCTACTAAATTACTCTCATAGGTTATATATTTGATTGTGTATGTCCAAAAGAACCTCCCAGTAGATTTTTTTTATTTCATCTTCAACATAGTCATCCTCAGTGTTGGATAAAACATTCACAARTTTGTTTAAGTTGTCTAAAACATCATAGTGTGACAGGACATTAACAGGACTTTCCAGTGGTCATTGGGTATGGGGCAAAGTTTGTCCTGGACAGGTTGCCAGTTCTTTACAGGTAGGGATGTCCCAATCCAGATTTTTTGGCTCCCGATACAATCCGATTTTTTTTAATGATTATTCTTTCCAATACCGATCTGATAGTTTTATTTTTGTATTTCTTTCCAAGTAACAAGGTTGGTAATATTAAAGCAAGCCCTGCTGTTCCCACCATGAGAAATATCCAGTTTGCAGATTTTGCAAGATGCAGTTTCAGCATCATTGTTTTCCATTGAAAAGTGTTCCCACACTGTGGACATGGTTGCATACTTCTGTGCGTCTTGACTTCTTAACGATAGTTGTAAAGCATGATGATGCTGAAAACTGTCGCGAAAACTGGATTGGCCCGATAACTTGACTAAATCCGATTCTACCCGATTTTCAGAAAATGGCCATATCTGCCACCGATACTGAGAATCTGATCAGGACATCCCTAATTACAGGGCCACAAAGAGACAATCAAGACGGATAAATGAGTTGTATCATGAAAGTGTTCTTGGTCTGTCAAAGACCAACTATAAAGAAATAGACAATCATGCACATTGATCTTTATTGACTAATGTAAATTAGAAGGAGAATAAAGAGAGTAACTGTGGCTCAGATTCTTCACCAGTCTGAACTTTATAGAAGAGAAGCAAAAAGAAAGCTGAAGAAGCTGTTGACTAAAGTTTGTCTAATTTTTTTAGTGTAGATATTTTCTCTTCATACTTTCAGTTTTTTATCAACTCAACTCATAAATTAGGTAAATTATTGTTTGGTAGATTATTTCTTTGTTGTAACAATGCTTATTGGCAATAAATCTTATAGCAGGCACCTGATTGGCAGCACCTGKGGTACCAGAAGCTGTTTGGCTTTTTTTTTTTTTCATGTGGAAAATTAACAGATTTTCCAACAGTATAAGATTTATTGCCAAGAAGAATTGTTACAACGAAGAAATGATCCACTAAATGCTAATTGTCTTACTTTTTGTGCAAAGTTTATATAGACAGAGCAACAGATTTAAAAAATGCGTTAGAGGTCATCACTTTTATGTTGCTTTGTTTTAAAAATACACACTAAAGTATACAACATTTACTTCATTGCATTGATTAATTTGTTTGTTTGTTTTTTTCAATTGATGCTACATAAAAAAGGGACAATTAATACTGTTCATAATTTACCAGACAAACCGATATGTATTTCTTTTTCACCCTATAAAAACACGTGCACTTCAAATAGAGCTTTTGTAGTTTTGTTGACCATTCAAAACTATTTACCTTCATATGAATTTTAGATAGCTCTATCTTTGCCATTTCTCAAACTGTGTTGTAGAAAATCTGCATTTTTGTTGATATGGCTTTACCTTCCCATGTTTCTGTGTCCAGGCACGTCGACAAGAACAAAAGCGTGGCCATCAAGACCCTTCAACCGTCGGTGACTCTTCATCACGGCACAGCGTGACCGGACAGGACAGTGGCTTTGGCAGTGACAGTGCCCGCATCAGGATTGTCCAAATAGAGCAGCAGAGTGGAGCCAGCCACCACTGCATTGCTAGACCCTCACAAAAGTCCACCATTACAAAGAACCTCAGCTTCATCCCTTTTGACATTTTTCTCACTGCCAGTAAACTGTCTGTTATGACTTATGCTTGCTCTAGTACTTCTAAGTCTCTAACGACACTGACTGATATACCCAATACACCAGAAAGGAAAGAACCTGGGGATAAGGTGAATAAAAAGCTACTGAACTATTAGAGTTGGGCAAAATCATACTGTGTACAATTAATCATCAGAACAACTGACACAAATTAATATTTGGCACTTTACGATTATTGCGATTAATGACATATAAGTCACTGTGGCGTGCAGCTAATGCTAAAGTGGAGCTAACAACTCTGATCTAACACTAACGTGGAGTTAACATTAAGGCGGAGCTAAAACTAATGTGGAGTTAAAGTTAAGGCAGAGCTAACACTAATGTGGAGCCATCATTAAGGCAAAGCTAATGCTAACAAGGAGCTAACATTAATTCAATTCAAATATACTTTATTGATCCCAGAGGGAAATTAGGCCAATGCAGAGCTAACACCAATGTGAAGCTAATTCAATGCTAGCACTCCAAACTTGTTTAATCACCTGAAACACTGCCTTAAACCAGAGTAGGAGGACAGACAGAGAACGTGGACCAATGCAACAAAGTTGGCAACAAACTCTTCCAGTGAATGGTGGAAACAAATCTGCTCAGCTGAGAATTAACAATGCACTCTGTCGATCTGTCCCTTTCGAGCAACAACATTGGGTGTGGCTGTTAAAATGAAGTTATTTTGACTGATGATTTATAAGTGCAATTTTTGAACACAGGTTTATTGATTTAGAGTCAAAAACAAGTACAATTGTCATCTATTAACCATCATATTATTGGCTAAATGCCTCACTCGTATTTAACTTTTTTGTCAATATTGCCCAACCCTAGACTTGACTGTGATTATACTGTATGTCACATCTTTATTTTGACCAAGGCAGTGCTAAATGRTTATTTTATGTCTGGTTCAGGTGGGAAAGAGTGTCCTCAACCATCTCGAAATCACGTCCGAGTCTCCTCCACCTTCAACCTCGCCAACCTCTGACCTAACCCCAGCTGCTCAGAGCTCACTTGCTGGTCTGACTGCTGAGGACATYCTGAACAGCAACACCTCTCAGCCAGCTTCTCCGCTGATAAGAGGAAGCCTGCTCTCACTTGATGGCCTTCCCACTCCGACCCGTTCCTCGGCCCGCCAGGCTCTGGGTGTTACCATTGTGAGGCAACCAGGGAGACGAGGAGCTGGGGACCAGTTGTTGGAACCCCTCTTGTACCTGCAGGTTCTGCAGCCTTCTGTTCTGCTCAGTTGCCACCATCGGAAGCAGAGGATGGAGCTGTCTGTTTTTGATGTGTTCCTCAAAGGAGTAGCTTCTGACTACAAGTGCCTGGGTGAGAGCATGTTGTCTGGGTATTCTGTTAGGGTTAATGCTTTGGTCTAGATGTTAAATTAAACTGTTGTAATGTTTTAAACATGYCTAGATGGGCACAAGAACAGCCTGAAAGTTTGTATCTGCTTGGTTTTGTCCAGACCCTGGAAAGACTCTGCCAGAATCTTTGGACTACAACATGTTTTGGCTGCAGACAGTAGCAGGAGAGGTTGATGGTAAAACGGGGATTCCTCCACCTCTGCTTTGTTTCCAGATCAAAGATTTCCTCAATGGACCAGGTGGGACTCACAATATTAGTAATGCAACTTTTGCAAAATGCTGAAAATCATACAACACAAAAACTGACTAGTAAAATGAAAAACACTGCTTGTTCTCAGACCAGGAGCCTTTTCACCCCCAAACAAATGACTATAAAACATGTGAAAACTTTGTTCCAACCTCCAAAACTTCCACCCATTTATTCCACTCATCTGTGGTCTTGTTACGGAGATAACGGGTCCAGACAGGAAACCCAAACATCCTTCTCCTCAGCAACTCTCTCCCTCTCCTCCTGGGGCTCCCAAAGCATTTCCAAGACCAAAAAGGATATATTTAATGTCTCCAGGGAGTTCTGGTCTGCCCTGGGGTATCCTCCCAGTGGATATACACCCTGAAAACCTTTAGAAAAGCATCCTAATCAGATCCCCCAAACTACCTCAGCTGACTCGTTTTGATGAGGAGGAGCAGCTGTCTCTTCTCTGAGCTTCCCCAACATGATGACGCTCATTAAGGTGGCAGGGCTCCACCAGGCTCCGGTGGATGTTTACTCCAGGAAGTCAGTTATGTGCTTTTCTCTTTGAGCCACTCACTACTAACTCCGATGTGCCAAGTGTCCATGTGTTTGCGTGTAATAAATTTGGCTTTCACAGAGTTTGGTTTGCTATTTTTAGACTGAGATGACATCCATATGAGCAGATTTAAGTTGAGGTTGTTGACCTTAGGGTGTGTTTGACATCCTGCCCAAACACAACTGTAATGAATAAAAGTGTGAGTGGGCTTTTGAGTCTTAGTGTGCGCAACCTTTTTATCCCAGTGAGGGTTTCATGCAGAGTGTGTGTAGGAGCAGGTCATCCTTCAGCTTCCTGAACTCAGGCCAGATGTTGCAGATTCATACACTCTGTCACGTTAACTATAGATACACTTTGACATATAGGCTGTCTTTCTTCCACATGTATACAATCATGGACGCATACTGTGCATTTACACCAGAAGGAGCTCCGAGGTGAACTCAGGTGTTATAGATAATAGTTTAGCAWCAAGCACACAGCTTAGTTTTCCCGGCTCCATATGTTTTCTCTCATTGACAACGTTTCTGTCCATCTGCACAAACATCACTCTGTGTAGCCCAATACAACACAGCCTCATGTACTGTGTGTGTTAGATGATGCCAGTAAGCTTTTATTTTTCTTAGCCCAACATTTCTCAAAAGACAGCAAATTCCCCTCCCTGTTTCATGTCATAAAGATCATTTTATGCTTAAAATAGATGGAGTCACAGCAAAAAAAATAAAATTAAATGCATGGTAATTTCTTATTTCTTACATTATACAAAAAGGAGTTTTTATGATTGATTTACTTTATTTACAGATACATGGTTCATAATACATAAAAAAACAAACAACAAAAAATAAAATCATATTACAAAACAACCCTGTCCTTTCCGGAGACAATCATGCCAGTGTTTTCAAAGTTTGGATGTGTAGTATATGGCACTGAATACTACATTAGTGTTAAAATGACTCCATTATCAGATTCACTGAGTCGACAGATAAACATATACACGCCTGTCAATGTACTGACCCAAGCAGACAGAAACATTTCCCTGATACTGGTCCATCTGGGCTTCTATAATGAAAAATATTTTAAACCACCTAAAGTCCTTGATGATGTTTTTTTTTTATAATTCCACCATAAGTGAGCTGTGTACACTGAGGTACAATATGATCTAAACAAGTTCAGTTTTACTTCATTAGAAAAAATCCACATTTCAAAGACAAGACATTTGCTTCTGCATATAACATATGATATAACATACGGCACTGATGGTAAATGTCCTCGTCGTCTCTTTTTATTTAAATTTTTATTGAAAATTTGTATAATTGTGTTGACTAATAAGCTTCACATAATTTATTTACTTTAATTTATGCATGCACTAAGAAGTCGCATCAAGTGTTTCTGTGCTACATCAGATTCATGAGTATATAATGCAGTATTTAATATTGTAGAATGAACATCAGGTGTTTCCTCTTAAATAGTTAAAGAACAGACCTGTCTCAGTAGAACAATTTGAGAAATAATCATTCATATTTTTTCTCTGTGCATACACTCACATACTAACACTCCCAAATGACTCAGACTGGATCCAGGCTCAGATGCCTTAGGTCAGGCTCTGCTGGAAATATCAAAAAGTTGACCACATATGCTACTGGTTCTCCTTCATCCCCTCAGCCACTTAGTCACTCACACACACACACACATTCACACGCACATGTTCAACTGTTGGTCATTGAGGAGGTACTTATCCTCTTATGGAATGAGGGGAACAAAGGATGATCTGTGGAAATCATTTGCTGACTGTGATTTTGTTGTTTTAAATGCACTAATTGCATTGTTTAGGTAAACAAGAACCTTTCAGGGATCATTTTTAAATAAACTGGAGAATTAGGAGTCATTAGTGAGAGGCTTTGAGGAATGTTTTGCTGAAGGGAGAAAAGAGGACAATGAGTGCAATGAGTGAAGACAAGATTAAGAAAAAAACAGTGCGTTCAGCATTCTGTTCATCTGTCCCCTCTCATTACAAATGTCTRCTTGTGTGTGTTGCGATGTGTATTTATCACATTTGGCAGCTATGCTTTAATTCGACAATGCTTCACATTTGATTTATTTTAACCAGGCGCAAACGGAGAGCAGACCGCCATGAGGCCACATCTTGGTGTGTGTTTACAACAATATGCTCGCAATTTCAACAGCATTTATTCTGCAAGACCAATCAAAGTATGGGGGCGCCCGATATTAAAGCTTTCTTCCCAAGGATGCTGAGTGGGAAACACTTGTAACATGTGTACTGCAAACTAGGATGAGGTTTCAGCATCGACCCTCGTGCAGCAGCAGCTCATCACACGCATACACACACACACACGCACATTTCTAAACACTGCTAACAGAACTGCGGTAAAGAGGCCAGACTTTGTGTGTGTGTGTGCGCGCTAAAGGAGGTCAGGATTTCACCAGCAGGCGTTCACACAAAAAAAGACTTAAAATCTGACATTAAGATGCAGTGTTGTATAAAGTACCACAAAGTGATACTTTAGTAAAAGTATAAGTATCTTACCAAAAAATTACTTTCGTAAAAGTTAGTCTTCTTTATGAATATTACTTGAGTAAAAGTCTTAAAGTAACTGACATTTGTTGTACTCAAGTATTAAAAGTAAAAGTTTTGTATAAGAGCAGTTAGATTTTCTGTAATGACATTTATTAGGAGGTGACCTCCCCAAAAAATGCAGAGATATCTGTCATATTAAAATAATTGATTTATGTTAAATAAATCCTTCTATCACTTCTCCTGCTCAGTTCTTACCTTTGAATGGGTCTGTTAGCAAATCCAAAGATGTAACTGCTACCACTTGAGAGTAAAGACCAGCCTTTTCTCTGAAGGGAAGCATAAGGTGATAGATTAGCTAGAGCAAATTGGAACCATTACTCTCCTGTGTCCCTGGATCCTGTCAAGCAACGGGTTTGTAGAAATGTTGTCAGATACTGTATACAAGCATTTGCCCCTCCGAACAATCCAGACCCTCTTTAATTTGAGTCAGATGGCATCTGAGGTATGTGTCATAGGGTGCAGAACATCTCGTAACCGTAGATTTCAGCAGATACCAGCAAAACAAATTTTTGGCCTCTTCAARCGCAGACGTACACGTATGCCCTTCGCTGTGTAATTGGATATGTTGCCACCTGTGCCTTACACAGGCTTTCTTCTGTCAAGAGTCAAGCGTGAAGCCGGCAGGAGAAATCAAAAGGTGCAGTGGAAATGAAAACAGTGTTGGTGCTGAGYGCTCGCACACATTTTTACCCAAACCCAGGTTCAGAGTGGGGACGGCGTCATGGATGACCTCTCCAAATAGGCACAGTAACCTGGGTAATAAGCATATTTGATCTCCCCCACTACTTTAGAGAGGTAGGCGTTCACTCTGAGGTTCAGTCTCGTGTGTGTGTGTGTGTGTGTGTGTGTGTGTGTGTGTGTGTGTGTGTGTGTGTGTGTGTGTGTGTGTGTGNGAGGGGTTTTCTGTGTGTGTGTGTGTGTGTGTGTGTGTGTGTGTGTGTGTGTGTGTGTGTGTGAGAGACCCTGGCCTTCTACTTTCTCCAGTGCTAATAGAGGCTGACAACTGAGAAGGGCCAACGTACGATTCCCCACAGCCTGTTTAAATTAAAGTTTGTTCTTTAAAGATACGTGAACACCGTCTCTCTACCTTTAGGCCTCATGCTTGATCTTGATGGCCTCTACCTTAAAATAGTCATTTGTTTTATGACTCAAAATGATCCAAAGGAAACACTTCTGTGTGGAGAAGCACACACCCCAGCAAAATATTTAAAAAGTGCTACCACATTTTTTCTATCACTCTTCACACATCCCTATTAATAATATTTATTCTGGCCTCCTCGAACCAGGACACGTTAAAAGCAGAGATACTGTTGTACTTCTTCAAGTACATTAATTAAAAATCTGCAGCTCAGTTTGTAAAAGACAGACCTCACAGTCTTTTGTTTTTCCACAAAATCTTCCCCACTGCATATTTGTGCTTCTGTTTTACAAGCAGAAGAAAAGAAAAACAACTCCACAACAGTTTATACTTCCAAGTTGTACCTTTGTATGTTTGGTCAATTTGTGCCCTTACTATTTGAGGTAACCATTTTGTCATCCGGGCTGCGATTGGAGGGCAGCTGGTGCAGTGTAAGGTTTACAGACAAGTGCCAAAAAACAATGAGTTTGAATAAAATGCCCATTTATGGAAGATGTTAGAGGAGCATAAACTAAAAGAGTAGGTTCATGCAAGCAAGATGAGAAAAATAAATCCAAACAAAAATTATTCCAGCTGCGCTTCTGCACAGTTAAACATGTTAGCTACTACTCTTACCATCCAGGTGAAGTGCGTATGGGTCAAACAGGTAATAAAGTTCAGTTACCATCATTCCTGAGCTGGCTGGGTTGGACGGGGGCAGAAAGCAACTGTGGGAGGGAGGACAGACTGTAATTAGAACCAGGCCTCAGAGTACAGAGAGCCAGCCAAGGCTCGGGCCTCAGCACCGGCCCTGACTGGGTGATCAGAGACATCTTTATGTGGTTACAGGAGGGTTGATTAGGTGGCAGCTCGAGGAAAACTAAAAGAGGTTATGGAAGATAAAAGAAGCAGAAAATGAAATTTAATTGTAAGTTGAATGGATGGAAAGAGGTGGGGAGAGGGGGGTCTGTTGGAGGGGAACAGAAGAAGCTGAACAGCTGCATTTATGCCCTTTATTTCACCACTGGAAAGTTTCCTGGTGATAAGTCAAGTGGAAATGATAAGCTACATTGCACAGAAAATTCCTCCCATCTTTCGCTCAGTTCTTTGTTGCAGCCATGCTTCCTTTTGACCGTGTGCCTCACTTCCACTGAAATACATAACAGACTCCTGAGCATTGTGTGTGTGTGTGTGTGTGTGTGTGTGTGTGTGTGTGTGTGTGTGTGTGTGTG